CTTCAACAGTATCACCACCACCATCATCTCCAACAGTATCACCACCACCATCATCTCCAACAGTATCACCACCACCATCATCTCCATCAGTATCACCACCACCATCATCTCCAAAAGTATCACCACCACCATCATCTCCAACAGTATCACCACCACCATTATCTCCAACAGTATCACCACCACTAACACCACTACTATCACCACCGAGACTGGACCAAAGTGAGGGAGAGATGAGGAAGGAGCGAAAAGAACTGTGAGGGAGGGAGGGAGTGTGGGAGAACTGAGGATGGTAGAGATAAGGAAGCATTGAGGAGGGAAGGAGGGAGGGCAGTAAGGGAAGTGAGGAAGAGGTGAAAGAAAGTTAAGGTAACGTCAACAACAACACCACAACACCACAACATATATATATATTTTTAAATAACAAAACTCACTACAAACTTCAACATAAACGGCAATAAAATGTCACCTTTTATCTGTCCTACATATTGGTCTGAGCTTTATATAAACACTCTCGCCTCACACTGCTGTTGTTGTCGCCCCTGAGAGCTCTCCCTTCCTCCCTCGTCTGACGCAGAATGACTGGGATCAAGAACAACACACCTTAGATCACCTGAAGATTAGTCCCCCCCCCAAGCTTATTTCATCTGAAGATTAACCATCCTAATCCTAACCCAAGTTAACCTAACCTAACCTAACTTAACATTCTTGGGTTGTATTTCGTATGTGTCCTGTCGTAAATTGCTGCTCCCTGGCGGTTTTAGACACACAGAGTCACAACAGGATCGTTTGTACAAATAAATTGAAATTCGAGCCTATGTTGGTGGCCGCTGGCTTGAAATAAAATATCATACTTGCCTCACCAATATTTTATTTTAGTTTTATTAATATACCACACACACACACACACACACACACACACACACACACACACACACACACACACACACACACACACACTTTGTTTTTGAATGGGCATTTGCTAGTATTTATCAGTCAATTGAGCCAGAGCAATTTGGCAATATGAAGACCTCCTCTACATCACACTGCTTAGTTAGTTTCCTGGATTTTCTGCACAAAAACATGGAGAAACGTAAGGCATCACTGGCCGTTGCCCTTGTTGATTTCAGGAAGGCTTTTGACCTTGTTGATCAGTGCAATGTTATCAACAAGGTCATTGCAATAAGGCTGCCCATCAACCTGGTCTCATGGCTCAGTGATTTCCTGAGTGAGAGTCGTCAGGCAGTGAGGTACCAGGGTTCTGTCTCCACATTCCAACACCTCACCTGCCGTGTTCCCCAGGGGACCAAGATGGGACCACTGTGCTTCCTAATCCTGATCAACGACGCTCTATCGGACACTCTTCACAGGTGGAAGTACGTGGATGACTGCACTGGGGGTTACAGTGGACAACACCTCACCGGACTACTCATCGCTACAAGGCACCCTGGACAGGCTACAGGCATGGACTACAGAGAACAAGGTCACCATCAATCACAACACCGCCACCACTCCAGTGTAAGCTCCAGCAGTCACAGTGGGTGCCCATCCTCTCCAGTTAGTGCAGTCTGCCAAACTCCTGGGTGTTACCATAGACCACAAATTGGACTGGAAGGCCCATGTAAACAACACGATCAAGGCAGCCTCGTACCGACTCTACATGTTGCGACGACTCAGGTTACTTGGGGCACCCACGCCAGAGCTGAGGACTATCTGCAATGCATTTATATTCCCAAAATTAACGTATGCGTCACCAGCCTGGTCGTCTTCTCTTAACTCTACCCAACAACGTGAGCTAGAGAAGGTACAGAAAAGGGCCTGCAGAATCATGCTCGGCGCAGACTACTCTGCCTACAACAACGCTCTCTACACCCTGGAAATGCCATCCCTCAGAGACCTCCACCAACACCCACTAGCGGGGTTTGGTAGTGGACTACTGCACCATCCTCGTCACCGCCACCTCCTGCCACCGGCAGTCCCCCACCCACCTCGCGCAGGCCGCCACTACAACAAAATTCAGCCCATAAGAGCCCGCACCGATATATATATAAGAACAGCACCATCCCATCTATTGTCAAAATAATAAACAGCTCCTGATTTATGTAATGTACAGCCCTGTAAATGTATTGATCGTATATTATTGTGTTTAAATCAAATGTAAGTTTGTATATTTTCAGCCACCGGCTGCAACTCTATTAATACACCGTTTATTATTATTATTATTATTATTATTATTATTATTATTATTATCATCATACACCCTATGAATAACATTGGCGCCTTTGGCACTCGTTCACACTTGAATTAATGAATACATATCACCAGGCAGGAGTCCCTCACACACCTGAGTCAACGAGACACCTTCAGCCAGATAAGTGCCGGGTGTTGACCCTCTATCAAGATAAGATGCAAACACAACACATCCTCCTCCTCCACCTCCTCCATTAGGATATCCCAGAGGTCCTTATGGAAACTGATGTCCTTGTGTTATGATATAGGGTTCCTGACTGACAATAACACACACATCCTCTGTTCGACTATCCAGAGATCCTTGTGGAAACTGATGTCGTCCCTGGTAAGGCTCACAGGATAACAACACAGTGGCAGTACGGATATTCAGATATCCTTATAACACCTGACGTTCTGTGGTAGGATACGAGGGTATAAATTGACAATAATGTACCAGTTATGGGAGACTGTGGCACCTCTGAGTAGGAGGGGACTCTCTCTCTCTCTCTCTTGTTCGCTCTTTCTTTCCCTTGTTATTCGCTATCTTTCTCTTGTTCTCTCACTCTGTCTTTCTCTCGTTCTCTTCCTATCTCTTGTTCTCTCACTCTGTCTGTCCTTATTTCTATCTCCATCTCACATTCTGTCTCCTTATCTATTTGTCTTCAATTCTATCTCCATCTATCTCTCTTTTCTCTCCCTTTATCTATTTGTCTATCTATCTCTTTCTCTCATTGGTTATGTCATAAAGCCTGAAGCATTTGTGTGTATGAGAGAGAGAGAGAGAGAGAGAGAGAGAGAGAGAGAGATAATGATGAAGATGATGATGATGATAACAATAACAGCAATAAAAACAACAATAACAAAAACTATAACAATAACCCACAATAATAACAATATGAGTAATAACCAAATAACCCAAACAATAACAACAAAAACACCAACCAACAACAATAACCAATAACAATAACACATTCAATGACCAAATTTCCCCCCCTCCCCCCCTGCTACACATTAACTACGCCAGTGCATGTAGAATGAGGCAGTAGGAGGGAGGTAGGTAGGTAGTTTTTTACAGGCCCAGTAGTAACGTCACCTGGTTATATTGGAGCTGTCAGGGCCAAACATAAATACTATAAAAAGTAAGAATTAGTTCCCGGATTTTAAGCCTGTGTGATAAATTTTTCCTTCCAATAATAACTGGGTATTGATTTAAGGGTTGATATGGGTTTGGTGAGTGTATGAGAGAGAGAGAGAGAGAGAGAGAGAGAGAGAGAGAGAGAGAGAGAGAGAGAGAGAGAGAGAGGATAACATTATATCCTCAATATTAATACCATCAATAGAGCCCAATAATTTTATACTGTGGACGGCAAAACGAGACATCACTGACCACCAACATTGATATACTGCACTACCACCACCATGCACACTCGTCACTCACGCACCACAAGACCACCACCACCACCACCACCACCATGCACACTCGTCACTCACGCACCACAAGACCTCCTCCAACCACCACCACCACACAGCCATCCATCACTATTACTTTCACGACCACTATTTACTATCACCACTACACATATATGAGACACATCTGTATAAGGGATCTATGTGAGTCTTGAGAGGGACATTCCTGGACTGGGGTGGGGATGACTTATGTCACTTCATTCCTTTGAAATGTATTTTTTTTTTGTATCTCAATAAGCGTATCAATAAAAAAACCGCCACACACATACATACAAACGCACACCATTTGCATACCACAAAACCCCTTTCAACCACACTTAGATACAACCAATAACCCCCCCAACCACATACACACATGTATTAGCCCCTGTCTCATTGTTGACAGTAGTATTATATAAAAGTGGGTTAATTACATTAGTCTTATATAACTCCATCACCCACGGTAACTTTCCATGAGCAGTGAGATGTCCTGCAGTGATCATGTGGTCCATTCATTGAACACGTGATCGGTAACTTGCCACTGGAGGGAGCGTCTCTATTTAGACCTTAGTTCAGCTATAAGAAGCCGGCTATTTGCTCCCGTGATCACTCAGTCTTCACTACAACCTCACGAGAAACAGACGTTTGATAACCAAGCTTCACAGATAAGCTTACCGTTTATGTTTCTAACAACCATAGCTCAATTGAGATAGTTACGGTGTTATCCTTTTTGAAAGTGTAAATAGAAACCTTTTACAATAAATGAAGAAAAGGAACATATTGGATTTCGCTACAGAAAATCCAACAAACATTTATCTATATTTTAGATCATCTAGAATATAAGGTAACAGCTTCACAAGTGGCTGTTACAAGTGGAGACAACCCAAGAAGGTTGTTACATATATGACAGCTTCACGAGTAGTTGTTATACAATGGTAACAGTCACCTAGCAGTTACACAGATGATAAAGGTAGAGATAATTTGTTCTCCCCATTACTGTGTTACACTATTACAAGGAAGCAAAAGTTACACACACACACACACACACACACACACACACACACTTACCGACAACCCGGCGAAAGAGACCTGGACGTAAGGATCAACATAGTCTCTGGAGTCCCCCGTAAAGGCCTTCTTCACGTTGGCCATGAGGGAGGAGTTGATCTTCGGGAGGCCGTCAGCTCGGTACACCCTCACGATGAACTTGGCCCTCTGACGCTCTGCAGGTACTCCGTCAGGAAGGAGCAAATTCCTGGCGAGGCAGCAGAGGTTTTTAGCTCGGGTGGGGAGATAGATAGTTTATGGGGGAGATTCATTAGGTTGGGGAGATGAGATGTTGTTGGTGGGGAGGTATGGTGGTGGTTAGGGGAGAGGTAAGAGAAAGGGGAGAAGCAGGAGTAGGGTGATGAAGGAGAGAAGGCACAGGGGTGTGTGTGTGTGTGTGTATGTGTGTGTGTGTGTGTGTGTGTGTGTGTGTGTGTGTGTGTGTAAATGTTTCGACTAGCAGATTAAGATAATTTTATTATCTCATTATGTATGCAGGTGTAAGCAGGTGTATATCGGTGTGTACAGTACAGGTGTGGGGTTAAGTTTGGAAGGGCATAGACAGATTTGAACTGTTCTGGACTGGGGTCAGGTTTGGGCAAGTGTGGATAGGTGTGGGCAGGTGTGGGTAGGTTTGGGTATGTGTGGGCAGGTATAGGAAGGACAAAATTCTAAAAAAAAAGTTAAATTATCGATTGAGAGAAAAATTAATTGCTTTTATTTTTCCCAAATTCATTAGTTGTCAGGGGAGACTATTACGACACATTACTTTAGCTTTTTTATTTACAAAGATTCTGACGGCTTATAATTTAATCTTATTATTATATTTAACATAATAACTTGAATTCAAAAAGGTATATTATTTATATATATATATATTATATCTAAGAGTAAATTGTGGAAAGGGTTAAGTGAAATATTTGTGCAAGAGATCTAATAAAGCTAAAAAAAACTACTTTGAGTTATTGCAAAAGTAAGGTAAAGTTGCACTGTATGAATAGAATATATATATCTTTAAAGTTTGTGGTTGAAGGAAGATGCAAGAACAATCGAGTCAATATTTTTACAAATAGATCTCTTAACTCCGCCCACAAGTGTGACGTAGTTGACATAAAGGCCAATAGGGGAGGAGCTAAACGGAATTAATGACAATAAACAACAATAACCAGCTCATAGCTACGGTTGAGGGCGTGGCTTGCATTCAAATTTCAAGCAAGCTCCTCCAATTGCGTGCGTTTGTGGGCGAGGCCAGAGGTCAAGTACAAATGCTAGAAGGACATAAAAAACTCGACCATTGGGACACAAGTTTGTTTATACAGAGGAGAGAGAGAGGTCAAGTGTGAGCAAGTAAGGGTCAAGGAGGAGGTGATGGGTGTGGAAGGGCGTTTCGTGCCTAAAAAGGGAAGAGGAACCACACATTTAAGTCGCACAATATTCACCACAACATTATTTAAGGTAGAGCTGCCAGATTAGCCACATGCTACACCTCTTAGTTAAAGCGTCAGTTTATAACAAGGGAGAGAGAAGTACATGAACATAATGGGCAGAGAAGGACTATTTTGGGGGGTAGGAGAGTATAGGATCAGGCAGTAGTTAATTTTATATTTATTTCTGTCAAATCCCCCGAAAAAATATTCCTACGACTATTTGGGGATTATTTAAAAATATAAAATAAATGAATAGGAGAGGTGATGAATGAAACCCCTTGAGTACGCCGAGTTGAACCCTTCTGAGTACAATATTACCGTACTCGCGGAACAAATTATTGTATTCAGAGTTAAGACTCGTACTCAAGGTGTTAATTCAGCATCTTCCAGGGGTTTAAGATATCTTATTGGACTAAATCACTGTACTCAAGGGATTAAAGTAATCGTACTCAAGGGGTTAAAGCCATTGTCCTTATGGGGTTAAGATATCTCAATAGATTTAATTCACTGTACTCAAGAAGGCTAAAAAAAATACAAATTGGAACTATAAAAAAAAACCTGAGGTAAATTCACTTGGAGATAACTAAGACCCAAATTTATACACAAGAAAATATGCAAGATGTAGCATGTATACAAATTCTACCTCTCATTAATACCTCGGGGGGAAAAATTATAAAAAAAAAAATCATAGTATATGTATGCATGGAGCTACTAGAAAAAATATTATAGGAATGAGCTATTCTAAAATATGCAAAGAGAACTAGAGAATAAAAAGTTATATTAAATGTGCTAATTTGTTGATTATTATCTTACGAGCCTCTGTGTGCCTGAGTTGAGGAGAGACTGTGGTTGTGAGTGGTGGTCATCATCATGCACTTTGTGGGGCAAGAACTTCTTACCGGGTCACTGCAGGTCAAAGGTCACTTCTTCTTACAAGTCTGTACAGGGTGTGGTTACCAGATGGATGTTGGTCGCCAGGTTACTAGGTCATTCATTCCCTCAATGATAGATTTGTGTTGGGAAGAGGTCATGTCATAGGTCAATCACCAGGTCGCAAGTCAATCACCAGGTATGTGACAGGTAAGTCACCAAGTCAAGGATCAATCACCCGGTCACAGCTCAATTTCCAAGTCAAAGGTCAGGTCACAGGTAACTCACCATGTCACAGGTTAATCACTAAGTCAAATAATCACTCCCCACAAACCACTAAAACCAGGTAGTGCTCACCAGGTCATAGTCAAGGTCACAATTCACTCCACCACATAGACAAGAGTAAGCGAGAGTAGATAAACTTCCCTTCAGCTCTTAGTGTGAGGAGGACCAGAGGCTGGGTCTGACTCTCACAGCGTCGGGGCTTCTCACACGAGCTCAAACTGGCTTTAACCTTAACCGTATGTAGCTAATGGACAGATTAAGCGTGAACGACTTGCTTGAATAACAAAACAGACGGACTGTGAACACTTTTTGGGAAGGAGTTTTCGGACCTCATGAAGATTAGGGATCCTAGATATATCAACTGATGATTAAACACCATTAGCTAAATGAGGAGTCAGGTTAGGTTAGGTTAGGTTAGGTTAGGTTAGGTTAGGTTAGCATTAGGGTGTTTAATCATCGGGTGAAATAAGAAAGGGTTCCTAATCTTCATAAGACTCGGCAATTCTTCTCGTGGTGCTGCCAGACATGAGATTATTCCAAAAAAAACAAGAAAAACGATGATATTCCCAGATTTGATAACGAATTGTAACTAATATCATTAAGAATATTGAATTTCATATTATCACTGAGAGTAATTACATTGTCATTATAGCTCTTTAGAACATACAGTCACTGGGCAATCGACATGTTTGGTTGCTTGGATACTAGCCCACCAAACCTGACTCTAATGGCACACGGTGCTGATGGGAACACTCATATGAACCAGAACAGTAAATGACTCGCCTTTATGACTAAAAATACTTGATGGAATAAGAATGATCCTGGAATCGTTTTTATGTACAAGCAAGCACTTTGTATGTAACAATATATAGTACAGGGATATTTATTAAGTCTCAATAAAACAAGGAACGAGTTTGAAAGTGTTAATAGAACAGGGAACGAGTTTGAAAGCCTTAGGAAACGTTTGTGTGAACCAAGAACGTTTTGTGTGAAGCAAGAGGGAGTACGAACCACGCTGTGAGATGTCAGACACACATGCATAGGCGAACACTAGACGTGAGGGGTGACCACATGCACTCGCGCCACCCACTGTTGACTGGACCACCCATCACCAGGCCACCCATACTCGGCCGTCTACCATCAGGCCGCCCGCCCATATTAAACCACCCAGGTCGACCGTATCAAGCCACCCAACCACCAGGCCGCCTATATTAAGCCACCCAGGCTGACTATATCGAGCCACCCAACCAGCAGGCCGCCCCTATTGAACCACCCATATCTATCACTGAGTCGCCCCTCCAGCAAGCCGCCCACACTGAGTTAATCTACCACTGAGCCGCCCACCACTAGGCCGCCAATATTAAGCTATCTACCACTGAGCCGCCCACGCTGAACCAACAAGTACAGGCTACCCAGTACAGTTCCCCAGTAAAGGTCGTGGGGTACATATTACCCAGTACAGGATTGTTGATACAGGCCATCCACTACAGGTCTTTAAGTAAATGTCAACCAGTAAAGGCCACCCAATATAGGCTACCCAGTACAGGCCGTTGATTCTCGGTACAGTCTTGTCATATACAGGCTGCCTAGTACAGACTCCCGGTAGACTGCAACTCTTTACAAACTCACGAAGGAATTTATTGCAGGCATCTGGTACAGGCTGCCCATTCCCAATACAGGTTGCTCATCACACACACTACTGTAACAGATTTCTTAGTACACTCTCTCGGTACAGGCAGCCCGGTAAAGGTAGACCACGACAAGGTCCTAGTACAGATAACCTCCAATATAGGTGGCCCAGTTTAAGTTCTCACTCTAGTTCCCGGTACAGACAGCCCGGTAGAGGGTTCCAGTACCAGTAGGGGGCGCCACCATCACCCCCCTCACACACACACAGACACACACACACACACACACACACACCTACCCCTCTGGATCAGCGCTGCAGTGGTAAAAAAAGACAAAGAAAAAAGTGACCGATTTTGTAATGCTGAATGTAAATAATGGTTGCCTTAGCTAAGGACGGCGACGTGCACATGTGTACCTGTATCTGTACACTGTCAGCTGTACACTGCCACACTCTTATCACCTGTACCTGTACACTGCCACACTCTTATCACCTGTACCTGTACACTGCTACACTCTTATCACCTGTACCTGTACACTGCCACACTCTTATCACCTGTACCTGTACACTGCTACACTCTTATCACCTGTACCTGTACATTGTCAGCTGTACACTGCCACACTCTTATCACCTGTACCTGTACACTGCCACACTCTTATCACCTGTACACTGCTACACTCTTATCACCTGTCTGTACACTGCCACACTCTTATCACCTGTACACCTGTATCACTGCCACACTCTTATCACCTGTACCTGTACACTGCCACACTCTTATCACCACACTGTCACACTGCCACACTCTTATCACCTGTACCTGTACACTGCTACACTCTATACACCACCTGTACCTGTACACTGCACACTCTTATCACCTGTACACTGCCACACTCTTATCACCTGTACACTGCCACTCTTATCACCTGTACACTGCCACACTCTTATCACCTGTACCTGTACACTGCTACACTCTTATCACCTGTACCTGTACACTGCCACACTCTTATCACCTGTACACTGCCACACTCTTATCACCTGTATACTGCCACACTCTTATCACCTGTACACCGCCACACTCTTATCACCTGTACACTGCCACACTCTTATCACCTGTACCTGTACACTGCCACACTCTTATCACCTGTACCTGTACACTGCCACACTCTTATCACCTGTACCTGTACACTCCCAGACTGTCAACACCTGTACACTCCCAGACTGTCAACACCTATACTTACTGCCACTCACTCAGATATTTAGAGACATGTGTACACCAGTGTATTTTTTGTACAGTCAACTAATATATTAAAGTCAGTTCGCCACTTTCCCTGAACCCACGAACCCCGAGATTCAGACTCGTGAGCCCGAAGCAGTAGACTGATACATTATTCTGTCTATACATGCTTCGGATTCGTTGGTCGAGGTTCAGGAGGAGAGGTGAATGGACTTTAGTAGTTGACTGTACACCTATTCTCACCTGATCACTAATTAGGGCCTACTACACCTCGCTGCCAATATCAAGAGAAACCAAATAAGGAAGAAAAAAATCAGTAATTCTGATAATTTTTTTCTCCAATTTGTTCATCTCTTTTGGCAATTATTTTCACATTGGAAGGACAAGTGTATAATCATTCACTACCTCGTGTGTTCATGTTATCTAAATACGAAATAAATAATTAATGAAAATTAAGTAAGGTGTTTGTAATGTAACGTTAGATATAATTTGTCATCAGAACAAACAGCAAACTTTGGGAGAACTATTTGATTGATTTTGTTTCCAAGAATGATATTAACATTATTGTAATAGTCTCAGTAAAGATGATTGATATTTCTGTAAGGCACTGTAATATTTTTGACCGTGGTAGATTCTCTGTATTCTGAGAGCTTTAATCTGAATTAAGCTATATTAGTTTTGAGATAATTAGTCTCTAAGTTTTTATTATTTGATAGTTTTGTATCTCAGTGTATTAGTTTTGTAATGCTATGTATCTCCTTCAGTAATTGATCTTTTGTTTATGTATCCTATAGTTTGTAAATAAACAAAAAACTGATACTATTGTTTATTTACACACTGATTCATCTTATTATACTCTTAATTATCTTTCTCTTACTTCATCTCTTATTAATTAAATGATAAAATAAAAAAATATTTGGGTGTTCTCTGTCCTGGCGACCACCTGCATAACAACCCTGAAGGTTCACTGGCTAGCTCGGTGGACGCAAGTGTAGCACAGCGACTAGTGTATTGGTGAGACTGTAATAAACAATTCACATGTGCTAAACAAACGTCACCACAGCTTCTCATTAAGGAGTGTAGAAGCTCTTGCAATCTTACTAGCAATATAATCAGTGCAAAAGCAGATACTATCATGTCCTGATGTGTTCTATATAAGAAATAATGCGTCCTATAACACTCTATATGAAAATTATGTCTTGTATCACTTATAAACTAGAAAATCATAGGAAGAAAAATAAAATGTAGCTTTCTATACTGCAGCACTGATGAAACGTCCAATGGTCTATCTCTATGCACTTACGATATGCTAATAAAGCCAAACCTTGGATTGCAGTACTTGTAACACTATCTACTACTAAATACTTCAAACCTAATGATGTTCAACACAGTTTTTTTTTGGGTAATGAAGGATGGAACACTAACTGTAGTCCTCTTCCATATTTGGCACAGACTGTGTTGCATCCTTGGCTAAGTGTTCACCTCACCTAACTCCACCAGGCTTAGCTTAACATTGACTTCTTTAGACAACAAATGCATCCACTGTGACTTATTACACTTCTTTGGATATATAATAAGCTGTTGGCTATATTATACTGCAATTGGCCCTATACTCGATGGTAAAGCTTATTATATATAACTACTTAAGTTATAATACAATCAGGTGAATGATTGTAAAATTACCTGAGTGTGTCATACTGAGACCTAATTACCTAAACTACCTTAATTAATCTCTGTCACAACAAGATATTCACTCTCCAGTTAATGACTGGTCTTCCCGGTCCAACTAAACTGTCACTAGATTGACTGTGAATGGAGGAAAGCTGACTATTGACACATGTAGTGACCTATTTTGCAGTTAATCTCACAATGCCAATAACACCGGCTATTAAGTTCTGCAACGAGAGGGGATCGATCCTGTGTCCGAGAAGTTTATGGGTCAACCAGCCGGCCACCATAACCACAATGTTTATTTGTTTATATGTTTCTCGCAACAGCCGGTCTAATGGTAAATAATCACAGGACATTTTAGAAGAACAAATTACCTGTGAACCTTCAAATAATTCCTGTAATAATGAAGCAAGTCAAAGGTAAATAATTCCTGCCATTAACTGATGGACAAACTTTTGTCTTACATTAATTCTCTTCACTAACTTAAAATCATTCCAGAGTATTTTATGCATTTGAGCCAATTCCTAATGGCACTGTTCTTACCTCTTACCAAACTGACTTATTTTATACGGGTAATATAAAACGTCTATTGGAACCTTTACCCTTCACCACTAACAAGTATCTACCTGAGCTTCACATATATTACAAAAATAAGTTAAATTATACCGAAGCCATCACACACACTTACGTTAACTTGAGGCTAAATCCTTAACAACAACTATACTGTGATTAAACCAATGAAGTCTAATGATAAGTAAATAATAATGTTGATTAAAATGTATCAGAATTCTATAATCAACCAGTTAAGGTGATAGAATAAATTATATTAACTCAAAAAAATCCTTATTGGAATAAGTTACCAGATGAAAAATTGAATTCTAATACTGAACATTACACTTATGAGACACAAAATAAAATGATAATCTGAATCCCGGAAAAAAAATTAAATTAGGCGGAAATTGTATCTAGACGGAGATGTTTTACTGTAGTGTTTGATCTCCTCGAGCGATAATTATCTTAACTTTCTCTTATTAAGACCAAACTTCCTCGGTGAGTGTCTCTGAGGGACTTCCAAGGAGGGCCTTCAATTATTTTTCTTTCTTTTTGAGGGAGATCCTGCTGGAGGGCCTTCAAGGACGACCTTCAAGATGGAAGTTCTTATAGGAACTTCCTTTAAGGTCGACCTTTAAGGATAATCTTCATGATGGACCTTTAAGAATGGCCTTTAAGAAGAATCTCCGAGTGAAGCTTAAAATAAAGTTCCTAAAGTTCAACCTTCAGGAAAATCCTCAAAATTAGTTCTCCAAGTTCGACCTCCTGAAAAGTCCCCCTCCGCTCCCTCTCAGAAGAAGACACTCGAAGTGAATTTATAATTCTAAGAAGTCATCCTCCAGGTACACCTCCCACACGACTCACCCTTCGATGTCATCCTCGTCCTTGTCATTCCTGAGGGGCGCCTTGATGGCATCCCCCTTCCCTACCACACAGATGTCGCACTTGAGGTAGCCCTTGGGCCCTCCTGTGATGTCATCAGGGTCAGTCAGCAGCGCCCACTTGTGGTAAAACTGGTGCTCTGTGGGCGGGGTGGGTGGGGCGATGAATGGGAAAGGGTGATAGACGGAGAAGTGGAATGGAGTAAGAGGAGGATGGGAAGGTTGCAGGATGGTGGAAGATGGCAGGTTAGAGGGGGCATAATGGTAGGTGGGGCGGGGGGAGGGGAGGTAGGGAGAGGGATGGGGTTTATGGAAGGGGCAAGTGATGATGGATTAAAGGATGGAAAGGGGTGGAATGGAAGGAAGGGAAAAAGAAGAAAAGAAAGAAAATTACACCATCCATCACATTACTCGTTCTTTGACACACACACACACACACACAGACACACACACACACACACACACACACACACACACACACAATACATAATTACATACACACAAACATGTATTATACCTAACCTGAGACATCATTTGTATAATTCTCACACCACAAATATACCAAAATACCTATAATAATTTACACATGAACCTGTACAGTACATGTATTGTTATTTCAGCCGATACACAACTACTTCAACTGTAGTTATCTCCCCATATACAAATTACCACTGTACCTGTATATTATAAACTGAAATCCTGTATTTGAGTTGATGATTCTGATTCTGATTTGACACCAGGTAAAAGATTCTACAGTTTATTCCCTCAAGGTATAGTGTCATTAGTGCCACTCAAGGTGTCATATATATACAGGTGTTATATGCTTCATTTAATCAATCTATTTCCCTATTCTACTGATCTGACTGATGATGTCTTTAGCGTATGAAGGATTTTTAGGTATTCATAACCTTTGGAAATAATATAACACACACACACACACACACCTAATAATATAATAATCAGATACTAAGTAAATGTCATGCTACTCACTACTCATATACGGTGTTGACATACAGGTGAGTGAGTGAGTGAGTGTCGGTCGGTGCATGATAGATTAAATTCACTAACGATAAGATAAAGAACTCCTCAGCCAGGCCATAACTCTGGGGTGATAATTATAATGTACAGGAATTGTTGATAAATACTGGTATGAGTCATTGTTGTAGTTAGTGTATTATGTTTGACTGAAAATACGTTATTGTTTTGTTTTGAGTTACTGTGTTTGTACCTACTGAATGAACGGACTCACGGACGGGTGGAAAACGGACTTACGGACACTTAAGGATGAACGGACACACGAACGGAAGGACAGAAAACATATAATCCTAAATTGTCATCCAAAGAACACCCACAATCTGTTCCTGCAAGATCTTAAATGTATATATAACAAACAGACTTAAATTCAATGGTAATATTTCGTCGTCTTAATTATGACAAGACAAGTGGGAAGAAGAAGCTTAAAGTTTTCATCACGTTGCTCCCGGGCGGAAATTCCGAGCAACTCTTAGTGAGAGAGATAACAGAGTTTTCTTAACAAGGAAGGGACAAAATCCTACACTTGCCGCTAAGACCGGGAGAACCCAGGAGGAGTCTTATAAACTTTACTAGCATGGGACTAAATTATTCTAATTCTTTTGGTTTTAAATTGCATATGAATGTGAAAGACAAGGAAGTGTGTGTGTGTGTGTGTGTGTGTGTGTGTGTGTGTGTGTGTGTGTGTGTGTGTGTGTGTGT